ATCCTGTCTGCCTGAGATCAGAGTGAAGGAGAGAAGGAGGCTGCAGGCTGTAACTTCAAAGGCAGGTGTGATGATATTCCAGATTTTTTCCTTTCTGAGCCAGTCTGGGGCTGTTTACACTGCCCTGGAAGCATCCCCAAGCCAGGCCCAGCATCACCTGGGCTGTCAACCTGTAAACCCAGCCTGGTCCCTGTGCAGGGCTCCCAGCACACAGGTGAGGGTGGTGCTGAAGGGCACAAAACCAGAATGAGCACAAGAGCAAAGCTCAGACTGTTTGAACTGGAAAGGCAAACCAGAGCTGCTCCCAGGCCACCAGGACTTGGCTACTGGTTCACAGTAAGCCATGGGGGCAGTGGGGCTTTGCAGTGGTGAGGAATTCTCTCCAATCCAGCTGCTTCCCACAGGCCTTGGCTGGCACAAGGGATTCTCACCCTGGTGCTGGCCAGTTCCTGAGCTCCTGCCTGGCCAGACTGGGGCCATGGGTGTTGGGAGTGCAATGGCACAGCAGCAGGGAGTGGAAATGCATCCTGAAGCAGAGGGGAGCAATGGGGGGGCTCTGAATCACCACCCTCCAGTACCAACCTCCCATCCTCAGGTGCCTCACTGGGATCAGGATTTGTTATTCACTGCAGCTCACAAACAAGAGAATAACCAAGAGAATAAACCCAGAGAAACAAGAGAATAAACTGCTAAACTCAGCACTGAACCAGGCTGAGCCCAGCCAGGGCTGCTCTGCCACCCCCTCTCACACCTCACACCCTTCATCCTTCCTGGCTCCCTAAAACAAAGAGCCCTGGGAAGAGGGGAAGTGCCAGAGCAGCTCACCAGGGGCTGTTCTGCTGCCTGCTCATGCTGTGGCACAAACAACAGCCCTGCACACCCCACCAGGGGCACGGGGAGCCCAGTGCAGCCCAGGTTCTCCCAGTCCCAGCTCTCCCAGTCCAGCCCCAGCTCTCCCAGTCCAGCCCCAGCTCTCCCAGTCCCAGCTCACACCCCACTGTGTCAGTGCCCGGCTGACAGAGCTCTCAGAGCCCTCTCCAGGCACAGGGATTGCTGTGATTAAACTGAGCCTAATGAGCCTCTCTCCAGCAAGGCACAGCCCAACTGCACAGATGAGAACGGCCATTCCAGTCCTCCTCCCTGATTAGCTGGATCATTTCCTGGTGCTCTACCTGCAGGGAAGATTTATCCCCTCAATCCCAGTCTGCATCACCCAGAGCAGAGTGAGCTTTCTGCATCTCTCCTGGCAGGGACACATCATTGGGGCAGTAAATCAGTGTTCCCCCACTGCCCTGAACCTGTCTGCACTTCCTGAGAATCCCAACTGGCAGAAATATGGTGACATGGCTGGAGATGCATGTTAAGGTTGATTTTGTTTCCAGCAGAAAAGTGCAAATGCAGGAAAAGAAACAATATGTGGAGAAGTGCCTGCAGTTCTTCCCTTCTCCAGTGCAAAGCTCTCTGACCGAAATAGCACATTGAAATTAAGCTCATTTGTTTCCAGATTGAAATCCCAAGGCTCTTCCATATTTGAAAAGTGTCATGGATGCTTTTTGGATGGCTGCTCTGCCTGGCTGAGAGAAAAGCAGCAAGGATGAAGGGAGGAAGACATTCCTCTAAGCACAATTCCCAAGGGGCTTCACCACATTGACTGGGCACAGGCTCACTAAATCCTAAACACTGCGAGGGATGAGCTGAAAGCCATCCCCAGACTTTGATTTCAGTGCTAACAAACTTGTGCCTCTCAGTGATAAGGACATCTCCACACACAGTGCCCAAACTGTGGCACAGCCACGTGTTCCCCTCCCCAAACAGCCAGCACTGCACTTTGGCCTCAGCTCAGAGCACTAATCCTGAACTTAAGGGGTTGTGGAGGTTAATTATAACCTAATGAACAAGATCCAAGTTGGGCATTTGTGGGGTCACTGTTTGCTGGTTCCCTTCTTCATTTCCCATGGTGGAAACGTTTTGCCCTCAGTCTCGCCATAAAAGAGGCAAATGGGGGCCATCCTGAGCCAGGGGAAATTGTGAACCCAACATGAAAGGCACAGATGACATGGCTAACTGATTGGTTTAATTACAACCTAATTTCCTCAATCACAAGTTCAAAAGTAGATGGCATTGGGTTTTAATTAAGAGGACTGCTTGAAGGATCTCAACCTCATCATGTTTTAGTCAAAGAGCTACAGAATAAAGGTCAGGAAATTGCACTTTTGCTTAATACAAACTAAAGGAATTATCAGATCCAGCAGGAAATTCTCAGAACTGTCAATACATATTGACAGATGCTGCTCCTCCATTAGACACAGTCCTCAGACACTGCAGCTTGTTCCCAAATCACCCAGGGACAAACCCAGGCTCAGCCCTTGCCCAGCATGGGCAGGTGTGCCAGGCCTAGGTGTGCCAGCCCCAGGTACCTCCCAGATGTCCCTGAGGTGTTTGATGCATTTGGGACAGACCCAGGTGTGCCCCAGGTACCTCACATTTGTTCCTGAGGTGTTTGATGCAGTGGGGACAGACCCAGCCCAGCCCCCAAGTGTGTCCCAGCCCTCAGGTGTGCCCCAGGTACCTCCCAGATATCCCTGAAGTATTTGATACACTGGAGACAGACCCAGGTGTGTCCCAGCCCCAGGTAACTCACAGATGTCCCTGACATCACCTGATACAACGGGGACAGACCCAGGCCAGCCCCCATGTCCTGTTTCCAGCCCCAGGTACCTCCCAGATGTCCCTGAGGTGTTTGATGTAGCAGGGACAGACCCAGATGTGTCCCAGGTGTGTCCCAGGTACCTCGCAGATGTCCTTGAGGTGTTTGATGTAGCAGGGACAGACCCAGGTGTGTCCCAGGTGTCCCCCAGGTGTGTCCCAGCCCCAGGTGTGTGTGTCCCATCCCCAGGTGTGTCCCAGGTGTGTCCCAGCCCCAGGTACCTCGCAGATGTCCTTGAGGTGTTTGATGTAGTGGCGCTCGGTGCTCATGATCTCGTTGATGACGTTGGCTCTCATCTGGTCGCGGTTCTGCACGCTCCTGCCCAGGCACAGGCACTCGGCCCCGGGCTCCAGGTGCCCGTTCTGCACCTCGCTGCTCCCCTCCTCCACCCCATCCTCCTGGTTCACCCACAGCTGCAGGACAAGGGCACAGCACAGCAACACCATCATCAGCATCAGCATCATCATCATCATTGTCATCATCATCATCATTGTCATCATCATCACCACCATCATCATCGTCATCACCACCATCATCATCATCATCGTCATTGTCATCATCATCATTGTCATCATCACCATCACTGTCATCATCATCACTATTATTTATTATTATTATTTCTCTACTATAGATCTTATTTATTATTATAATTTTTATTTCTATTTCTATTTTTATATTATATATTATTATTACTATTATTATTTTTATTTCTATTTCTATATCTATATTATTATTTCTATTTCTATATCATTTATTATATTATTTCTATTCCTATATCATTTATTACTATTATTATATATTGTATATAACAATTATTATTATTATTATGTATATTTTTATTTTTATTTTTATATTATATATTATTATTATTTTTTATTTCTATATATAATTTATTATTATTACTTCTATTTCTATATCATTTATTATATTATTTCTATTCCTATATCATTTATTACTATTATTATATATTGTATATAATAACAATTATTATTATTATGTATCGTTATATTTATTTACATATATTATTATTATTATTATTATTATTATTATTATTATTATTATTATTATTATTATTATTATTATTATTATTATTATTACAGGGCTCTGGGAGATGTTGGATCCAGCTCTCCTCACCCCACAGCTCCCAGCACACTCTGCCCTGTCCCACACAGCCCCAAACGGTGCCACAAACACTCCCCATTTCTGAGATCTGCTTTGGGCCCAAATATATAAATAAAAAAATATAATATATAAAAATAAATATATAGATATATAAATAAATGAAATATATCAATATAAATGAATAAATAAATAAATAAATAAATAATATATAAAATAAAAGTATATAAAACTGTCCTGTGCCAGGATAAAGCTCTGCCAAGAGCTCCAGGCTGATGGACACGAGTAAAACACAGCAGCCTGAGGGAAATGCAGCTCCAGACTGGCTCTTTAAAATGCTCTTTATTATATCCAGAGGATACAGCAATTTATTTATTTATTATTTAAAATGCTGTTTATTGTATCCAGAGGATACAGCAATTTATTTATTGTTTAAAATGCTGTTTATTGTATCCAGAGGATTCAGCAATTCAGGGCTTGTGGGTGACAGAGCCCAGCCCTGTCACCTCAGCTGTAGGACTGTCTGAAGCCACTCCAGTTCTGGTTACAATGCATTATAAACTTTTCTTTTAATACATAACAACCAATCAATGCCTTTACTATTCCCTATAGCCTATCATAACCACTAACATTACATATTCCTGTTACTATTCTCCAATCACAAAAAGTTAATCTGTTACAGTTTAAGCTAAAAGTTGTTTTTCAGTTTTCTTGCAGTGGTAATTTCTGAGATCTTTTTTCTACTTGCAACATTGGCTTTCTTGTTTGTCTGTGAAATCTTTTTGCTTGGTAAAAACATCTTTTGTTTGAGGTGGATTTATCCTTTGCTCTGAGCAAGAAAAACCTCTTGTAACTCACAGCTAACACAGCCTTTGCTTTCTAGTTATCCAGCAAAACTGGCTCAGCAATTTTTTTTTTTCCTATATGAAAACTTGGTTTCATTTCTATTCCTTTTCCAGATTCTACATTCCAAGATTTTTCTGCTATCCAGACACATCTGCTGACCTTGCTGTCAGATCCTGTCCATCCCCACACACACCAGCTCTGGAGCCTTGCAGGGCTGTGAAGGAGCCCTGATTCCATTTCTCAGCTCGCAGGGACAGCCTGGCCCAGGCCAATCCTCCATCCCAGCATCCCAGGATGGGGATTCCCAAACCATGGCATCCCCAAAGCACAGGGAATCCACACCCCTGAGCATCCCAAAACCCGGGGGCTCAGGGCAAAGCTTGGGACAGGTGCAAAGAAAATTCCAAGAAGCAGTGAAAAAGCATCTCTGTGTTTTCAGCACACTGAAGCTTCCTTCCAATATCAAATCCAGAGAAATTGCAAATCCCAGCTCTCTCCTGTGTGTCTGATCCATGCACATCAAGGGCTCCTTCTGTCACCTTTTCCCACAAAACCTTAAAATAACTCTGATTGACTCCAACTGGGCTCAGGGTAGTTTGTAAACTAACTTTAAATAAAGCTGAGAGGTCACAGAAATAGCCCTGTGTTTCACAGACCACCTCAGCTGTGATGGAAATGCAGCAAATTCTCTCCTCAGCATCTGAAGTCCCAAATCCTGAGGACTTTCAAACCTAAAAATCCATTTTCCTGTGAGCAGTGGAACTGTCCATACACAGAGTAGCAGCATCATTAACCTGATCTTCAGGCTTCCTTTTCTGTGTTAATAGTTTTTCCTGCTTTCCCATTATTCATTTTCAACTGGGCTTTGCACAGATTGTAAAGGGCAGTGTTCCTGTAAATTAGGAAAGCAAAAATCCTCCAAACCTGCCCCTGCTTTCCCAACCAACAGCTGTTCTGCTAAACCTCCCACGTTCTGCCCTCCCACAGGGAGTTGTAAAGGCCAAAAAAGAAAAAAAAAAAAAAAAACCAAACCAAAAAAACCCAAACCCATCTCTTCTTTAGCAGGATGTTAAGGATGCTGCAAATTCAGGGGATAAAAAAGGGATTTTGTAGGATTTCTATCAGCACTGGGAGGCCTGGCTGAGCCCTGGGTCACTGTGAGGGAAAGCTGGTGATCCAATCCCACAGAATTCAGTGGGATCCAGCATGAAAAACCTCTCCTGGCAGGCTGAAACAAATGTCTCTTGTTGAGAAAAACAACCCAAAAGCTGGCTGGAAAAGTGTCCCTTGCAGCAAACCCACCCTGCTCTGGAAGAGGTTTGGGGTCCACTGAGGCAGAGCAACACCCCATGAACATGAGCAGTGCTTTCTGCTGAAAAATAAATTTTAAATGAATAAATAAATAACTAAAACAAGTGCTTGCTGCTTGAGCAATGTCCTTGTTGGGTTAAGTGACCTCAGGGGCCAATTACTGATATCAGTGCCACCAATTTCAGTGCTGGGAAAAGCTGAGGGCACCCTGAGAAGGGAAAATGGGAAGGACAGGATGGCACAAGGAGTCCTCCAAGGGATCTGTGCCAGCACCACTGGCATCCCAAACCAAACAGATGTGGAAAATCCAGCAGGATCAGTGTGGTTGAAGTTTAAAATAATTTCCCACCCTGCTTTTCTTCTCCTGCAGAAAGGGATTTTGCAGCTTCCCAAACCCAATTGGAACAACCTGTAACCAAATTTGATGACATTGCTGCCAGTGTGGCAGCAGAGCACATTGTTAAAGCTCCACCTCCTAGAGTCAGGTGATCATGAGAAAAAAGTTGATTTTCACTTTAAAAAAGAAGCCAGAAAGATCTAATCATTACAAGGCATGTGTGTGTAAGCCTGAGTCATGAATCCTAAAGGCTTTGAAACTCCAAGGCAGATAGCAAACTTGCAAACTTTCATGATTCCTCAAATTCAGGCTGCCTTTTGTGCACAGCAGGAACAATCCCTCCTTCCTCATCTGCCAATCTCATGAGTCCTGCTTTCTTTCTTAATGAAATTTTTTGCTCTTTCCTGCTAGGATCCGTGTTCCCAAAGGGGAAAAAAAAATATACAGTTCTAGTCTAGATGACTTCTGCCTTAGATTAAAAACAAATGCAACAATTTTATCAGCTCCAGAGGAAGCTGAAAGTTTCCACCCTGTGCTCTCCAGCCTGTGCTGCTGAGGGATAAATCCCACTGTGCTGTTCAAACACTCCTGCTTCCATCTAAACCTCTGAAATCCTCTGATATTCCAGCAAGGATCCTCCTTCCAGAGCATCATTTGAATTTGGGACCATGACAAATAAAAGCTGAGCTGCAGTGGCAGCTCTGGCACTGACCTTGGGAGGAGGTTTCCTCACCCAAACCCAGGGATAATCACAGAAAAACTCACGGAGCTGTTGGAATTTGGGCTGAAATGCATCCCCAGAGTCTTGTTCTCACCCTGACACAGACCTGGGGCTGGGGAGGAGCTGAGCCATGCTGGGACACGGCAAGGTGGCACTTCAAGGGTTAACTGTGCCCTCTGTCCCAGTGCCACCACCCCAGGCTGGCTCCTCAGTGACACTGAGGGAGCTGCAGGTGACAAGGAGGTGGCACGGCCACACTGGGGACAAGCTGGCCTCGTTCAGAATCTTGTGAAATGTCAGACTGAGCAGATTTGGACAAAGCTGCAAACGCTCCTGGTTTAACCCAGCAGCTCTAACAGGGTGATCCCTGTGTTTCACACACACGGGGCTCCCAAAAATGCCTGAAATGCCTGAATTTCCCTCCCTGCTGTGGGGAACAGCTGAGATCACACTCCTGGAGAAAGATCTGTGTGCTCCTCATCTTCCCAACCTGACACAAATGCACAGCTGCCCCTCGCTCTCACTGCAAAAATCTCCATTTTTGAGAAAAGAAACTTCAATATTCTCATTTTCTCCCAGTTTCATCCCATCTCCCCAGCACTCCCAGCTCAGGATGGGTGGCTGCCATCCCTGTGAGGATTTCCAGGGAGCAGGGATGGGACAGGAATTCCTTGGCAGCTTCTCAATTCTGCTGCTCATTTGGATTCCAAGAAGCCTCTCCAGGCTCCTGCCCTGAGCTCTTCAGCAGTTCAGGGCTGTGGCTTGGGATCCTAGACTGAATTCCTGCCTCCAAAGGCACTGGTTTAAGGAAAAAACAACAACCCTACAATAATAAATCAAATAAATCTCTTTAAACACCTCTGCAATGCAAAACATCAGGGGCTGCAAAATAAAACAACACTGGGAGGGTTTCCCTCAGGCCAGGAAAAAGGCCCAGCAGCCAAACCACCAAGCCCTGAGAGCCATTTCAAGCACTCTGTAACAAGAATTAATTAAAAGAAATCAGTGGAAATGACAGGAAAAAAAAAAATCAAGTTGCATAATGCTGGTCCTACGTGATGTTTCCCTCCATGTGCAGA